TAAACCGTTAAAGTGTTTTATTTAAATAAGATATTTCTATTGATTATAATGATGCAAATGAAATTTGATAACTCTTCTTATCGAAAAAAGAACATAAAGGTGGTCAGTTTATTGAAATTCCGTTAAGGCCACAAACTACCGCCCACAGATGAAAAAGAAGTCACGATAAATGGCGTTACAGTTTCAGTCTGTGTTTTACCGAATATCTAAAGTCAAAATAGGACAGCCCATCTTGATTAGATATTATATTGATTATATATGAGTGGGGTATTCACCTACAAGTGAACCAAATGCTAGTCTGACCTGTTTCATTCGCATTTTTCTGATTAGATTAGTTTCTTTATAGTTAAATTAATTGCGAAATAACTCTGTCATATAGCAATATGATATAATCCCTTAATAGAGACAACGTAATAACGGCGAAGACGTATTATTACGTAAGATCTTGGAAACGGGTCGTTGTTAAGACGATGGAGAGATTACAGACGCTGATCATTGCCAAATTGTGTCTTCGTATAATAACATTTCACGAGATTCTCACGTCACTAATATTACGAGTATGTTGTGCTTAATAAACGCCCGAATTGGTTAAATGCAATTTACGCTCTAGAGGTTAGGGGTTGAAATCCTTGAAAAACATAAATGATTTCAGTTGTAGATAGAGAACATAACTGCGCATCTACTGATCTCCTAATAAAATCGATAAGTGAACCAGACACATAAATAAGTCTCTCTTAAAGTATATAAAATTGAAAATGTATTTAATTTTATATTTATATGTTGACTAAAACTGCGGAACTGTTGTTAACATTGAATATCTTTGTCTTTATACAATTGTTTAACTTTAGATTAGGTTTAACGACATGCACAATACTAATAACGAAGCTTTTAATGGGATCGTTGGTGTATCTGTTAGTTTGGTTCCCTCTGATCGGGGTAGGAATATCGAAATATCCTTCCGGGTTACGAACCACCGTTCTGAGATGAAAGAACCGTGAGGTTTAATTGCGTGTCAGTCTCAGTCTGTAGATTTCCAAAAACCAAAGCCAAAAGAGATCGAAAGCGCGTCTTCTTTAGATGTTATATTGTTGCGGTACTTTACGGACCATCAAGTGAACAAAAGAAAATACTAGAAACACAGCCATACAGCAGTGTAATAAGAAAGCAATAATAAAGAAGTTTGAAAGTATGAAAAGGGATAGCAATGCCTTTGTGAATTGTAAGCAAAGATGTCACTTTACCTTTCTCACAGCGAAAACACCTCGCAGCCCGAAGCGAAGAAGCGATTATCCCTAGCTAAAGAAAAATAATAATCTAACAGTTTTCTTAAGAAGCGACTCAGAAGCATAACAAAGGCATATCAAACAAATTGAGGCTCGAACTGGATGTGACGTCACAAAGCCGAGCCAGTCAAGCGTGTGTCGGCTCACAGTCAAAGAAACGTCTGCAACGGCAGGTTAGATAAGTTAGAAAAGTTACTGTGCTTTTTTCAGTAGCTTTAGTACCAATGAGATTGCGTTGAATCATATAAGATTGGAGCTAGCTTAAAAAATGTTAAATTGTAAATACAATAGATAGGTATTGTATTTCGACCAGCGTAATCAATGGTAGCAATGTTTGGCTATTAATAAACCGATGGTGGCTTCGATTCCCACCAGAAAAAAAAATTGGTTTCTAAAAGTCAAGTAATATTTTTTGCTAAATTAGGCTTCGTCTGGAAATCTACATCACGCAGATGTGATGTAGATTTCCAGACGAAGCGTCGGTTACAGTCTAGATTTTGAATATCTATAGCTAAAATAGGTCGACAACCCATTTTATTTAGATGTTAACCCGATGCTTGTCCGTCCTCCTCATGAGCAACCTAAAGCACAAATTTAATGAAAAACGTCGTAATAAAGCTTATTAAGGTACTGTATTCACAAACCATGTGGGTAGCATTGAAAACGTTGTAAGAGGTTCGCCCACGACAAAGTACCCACATCTAATGTAGATTTACATGCCATTTGAAACTTGATGTTGAATAATAAATTCTAGATACCTCTTTGAAAATCAAAACATCAGATTGAAATGAATAATTCAAGGGTCGTTTTAGACTTGACGTGTGTAAACAAATTGACGCAATGACCATCCCCGGGCGATCGGGGTCGACAACCCCTCTCCGCCCCCTACGGCCGCGAGAAACGCCTTTGTCATACGAAAAACTCTTTTTACGCTCTACCGCCTCGGTATAATGGCGTCCAAATATTACCCACATAAGAAAAATACACGAGACTTCCACGCTTTTGACTTTCAAATCTTGCGGGAACGCGGAAAAGTTTCATTGAAAGTTTTCAGCGCATTTTCGAACGGGAATATTTTTCGTGAGTTTCACTCCAGTGCGGGTTCAAAGGGAACTTATCTTCGCTAATCCGAGGCTTTAAAATGCCGCCTAGATCTACGCTTAGACGTTGCACCAGAGCAGATTAGGGTCAAACATTTGCATTGAAACGCGGTCCCTAACTACTCTATTCTTGTCTATAGTTTACGCAAGTAGTACACATTTAAATAAAAGCAGCCATGGTCACAGGGAGAAGAGAGAGAGTCTCCCCGTGACCACGGCTGCTGCAAAGCATCCGAAACGTCGGGCCGATGTTAAAAATCATTTTTCAAATAAGTTTAACTAATATATCGTTTTAAACCGTTAATGTGTTTTATTTACTGCTGTCAATGTCAGGTTCATTTTTAGCACACTGGTAGAAAATATGTATGTTAATTATATTTCTGACGTAATATGGTACCTTATGTAGCAATAACTAATTTATTATTAACGGAGTAAAGTTTGTAATAAACCAGACTATTCAACAACTAAATTACAATTGAAAACATGATGGCGAAAATTTTTTAACGACACCAGAATGACCTGAATCTATAATGCCCCGTGCTGCTGTTCTAATCGAGAGAGCAGTGCAATGCAACGCTGTGAATGCCCGTTCAAGTCCTGCCCCTATTAAATACTTTTTTAATACACGTTGATCTTTTATTTAACTAAAGTATACATATAGTACACAAGCTATTATGCTTTGTTGCGTTGGATGCCACATTTATTAAATACTACGTGATCACATGCAACCTAGCTCGGGCTCCTCAAAAGTCGCATTGAATGTAAGAATTCCCTTATGCCTGTGGCCCTGCTTTAATACCTTCCGGATACCGCCTCCTGACAAGCGGTAAATAAACTTTTGTAAGTGAACTTCTTTTCCTTTGTCATCCATTCTATTCCCTTGACGTTTCAAAGCTTTTTTACTATTTTATATGTATGCTATTTATGTAAATTTGTGTAAAAATGTAAAATTTAAAACTACGCGTGTTTATACCCCGTACTTGAGATTAACTGTAGTACACGAGTAGTATACATTTAATTACAATATTTGTAACGGTTTAAAACGCAACATATATTTAAGTAATCTCGTGGCCTTAGCAGCTGCAAAACTTACGAAACATCTCGTCAACAGCTCGAAATAAGATAATTAATATATTTCGCGTTTTAAACCGTTATGACTATTTTATTTAAACCAAGTTGAAGTAAAAAACATTACTCTGCCTAAGAGCTTTGAGGGTGGTAAAATGAAGCTTGGCGTAACGCGTTACGTAATGAAACACCTTAATCTCTCGTGGGAATTTCTTCTATAATTAAATTGCAAACATCAAATATACCTGTACCTAATATGTACATGTAGTTACAAACACGAATGTTTTGGTTAAGCTGTAAATAATACAGTCAAATGTGCATGTGTATGTACATATCTGGTTTCCACCACATTATTCTATTCGCATTGATGCCGTGGGTTGCCGCGGTCGGTGTCACAGAATAAAAGTGAAATAGTGCGGTTGTACCATCGACGTTCGCGATATTTTTCATACACGCTACACCGCACGTATTTTGCGCGATTCAATTTGCCCGAATAATAAGGACGCTAATGTTTTGTTTATGATGGAAAGACACAAAAGAGTTGTGTCTCTATACGGAAGATGAAATAACCTTTGTAGTTTACGCGAGTAGTACACATTGAAATAAAACACTTTAAAGGTTTAAACCGCGATACATTAGTTAAACTTATTCGAAAATTATTTTATTCTTCGGCCCGACGTTTCGGATTCTTTGCAGATCGGGGTTAGCAGTCACGGGGATACTAAAGATGGAGGATGTTTCTAACGACAAAGTGAAAACTTACACTTACCCAATTAATAAGTATTTTTCTATTTCTTTTCTCCAGTACTTCAGGGTGCCTGGAAGAGATCGCTGATTAACGATAAGGCCGCCTTTTAATTATAAGTTAGCACGAAAGATGTTTTCTCGTTTTTATATGTTTTGTTTCTGTAGTATGGGTTATAAATAATAAAGCTATAATAAATAAATCAATAGAGCCTTAATTGAGAAATGGCCTCATTAACACAACATTACAGCAGCCAAAGCCCCGCTGATGACGTCACCGACTGCGGTGCGATTACGTATTCATTTCCGGGCGTTGTGCAACGCAACTTAACCACAGCCCGGTGTCGCCTTCATTATTGTATCATTCATACGAATTGTGGAAAACAGCGTTTATCATAATTTGGCATCGGTACATGCAAATAACTAAAATTTTTCGGGAAATTATCAAATTGTTTGTTTGTTTGTTTGTTTATCAATTCATTAGCTGTGTCGACGACTTCGTCCGCGTGGAATAGTTATTTTGGGCATACAAATTTGTTTTTGCAAACATCCTCTTCATCTTTATAAACTTAAGCTGTTACTTAACCAGTATTTTTAAGATCATTTTAAGAGGAATCATTCTTTCATACATATTTTTTTTTGGTTTCTTGAACCGTTTTTGCAGTGTACGCATCTGAAAGCCGGTTCAAACAAACAAACTATTCATTTTTATATATTAGTATAGATATAATTACACAAGATTTACTAGAAAAAAAAAGACGGTTTAGAAAATCGACCTGAAATTAGGCTTAAGTCACGGAGCAAAATGGTAAGTCTATTTTTGGAAGTGCAGCAAAGGATATTGACCTATTTACCGAACAGTATAAAGTTTATATTCGGATATCTCTTTAATGCTCCGAGAGGCTTGTATGCGTAATCGGGTGCTGCGAGGAACTCGATAAAATACCAATATTATGGTAGTAAAATATTATGAATAAATTCCGGGCATCGGAGCGCGCTTGCGGGTAATAATAAAATTATGTCCCGTCATTTTTGGGGCCAAATTAAAAATTTCGGTAACAATCAAGTCTGGACATATGTTTGCGTTGGCGAGGGCTTTAATTGGCGATCAGGCGACTTCAACATGCAGACCGACAATGCAGTAATGCGTCTATATTACGTTGTGTGCAATTATTATTTTAATTAGCAGACAGTAATATCCATATTAATTGCCTTTTTAACTATAGTTTGGCCCTTAAAGACGCATTAAACGGCGTAAAACACAAAATATTATAGTTGATATAATTATGAACCATTTTCAAGCAATTTTATTGATGGACTCGTTGGAGTCATGTATACTAATAAGAACGGATCATGTCTTCGATCCCCACCGAGTCCAATATGTTTTTAATCTTTATAATTTTTCTGAATGATGTTGGACTTCGTCTGAAAATCTGTATATCAAATGGGTGGTAGAAATATCGAAATTCACTTTTCGGACGCAGTCCGTGTCTTTCTAAATATTCAAAGCCAAAATCGCTCGACACTGCATCCAGTTTAGGTGTTCTATAACTGGGGTATTTCAACATTAAGAAAGCTCCATGTTTGTCTGCCCCCCCACTATTATATTTTTTTTAAATCAAAGTAGTATACTTTTAATTAAAAGTATCGCAAACTTTGGGTATTATGTAAAAAAAAATTTAACTAATAAGTCTAATTCACGTTTTACTTTGTTAAAATCTGTTTTGTTTAATATACAGTATTACGTATTACTTAAACAAAAAAAATTGGTTTAATGTAAACAAAGTACCTACTCAATTCATGGTTTCAATTCCAAACAATTTTAAATTTAATTCAAATTTCGAAGATAACATAAAGCTGACACAGATAATATCTTGGCGCAATCTCAGGTTGTTCGGGACGCGATATCATCGGATCCTGCCGAGAGGAGCTGCTTCAAAGCCGTCCCGAGTAAAGCCGCTTCGGCGAGTCCACACAGCGAGGGATTACTTTCCTTCTGCGAGTCTTCTATATGCAATCCAGATTTGTACGACACACGCTTTGCGAGTCCTTCGTCCGTGAATTTTCAAGATGCAAAACCTCGGTAATTGTGTTATACAGCCTTTTATGGCCGGCTACATACGTTTTTAGTTATATACTTTATATAAACGTCGAAGCGTTGTCTTTATTACTTGAAGGGACGCTTTTTTCTGACCTAAATAAAAAATATGACTAGATACCACCTAAATTAAAAATCTTTTTAGATTGAATAAAATTACGGGTCTCGAACCGGGATACGTAGCGTTCCATGCTGTTGTTTCCAATTGAGCTACCGCGTCCTTCACGTCTTGGATTTTTTTCAACCGATCTATGACGCATCTTGATACCAAATATTACTCAATCATGATTTGATAAATTTATTTTCCCTAGGTGAAATCACTTTCATTGAGGGTGAATTTGTGATTCATAATTAAAATCGAAAAACCGTATCAAAGGAGCTTGTAGCCGTAACTTGTTTCGATACCTAACTAGGTATCGAACCCAGGTTCGTTTGTTCTTAGAGTATACAAGTAGACTGTGTGTAGTACCCGCATATTCGAGATCGGAGTGCACAATAAACACATCAAACAGACAAGCTGTACTTCGATGTTATTTTTCAGGAAACTTTCACAAAGGCCGTAACGATGTCCGAATGTGTTTTGTATGTTTGTTACTATTCTACGCTTATATTATACAAATTCTCGCGAGAACACACGCAAAATAAATAATATATTTGTCGATGTTTGCTCGTCATTTTCCGGCCTCGTAAGCAGGACAAACACAATCCCAGCTCAAATATTGTCTAAATATCTATATTATTTTCTTCACGGTGATCAGTTTACATTTATTTAGATATGGGTTTTAGGGTACGCCATCTGTTTTTATAATATTGAAGTTATTGGCGCAAATAAAAAACAATTTATAAAAGTCTAATATCTATATGAATTATTCTAATACGTATATTGTTTTTAATACAACAATTTATTTTGTTATTGATAAGTACATTTAAGACAGCCCGGGAGTCTATCAATGTTTAGAGACATTTATTTCTCTAAAAAGATACAAGATCTCTGACTCGAGAACACTATTCAAATCAACAATATTTTTATAATTCTATCCACATACCTTGAAGAAATTAAGAGTAAGGAGTACGCATTACTTTGTTTCTTGAACGCCACTGGCGGCAAACGTTTGAAGTCCGATTGGAGATGATTGATACTATAAAGTAACGAAAAGAATACAGAGTGATTAACCTAAATTATAATATACCAAAAAACAATCACATCAAATATTAAAACACGCTGTATAAGGGGTGGCCATGATGAATTAGTGATGTGCGGCATAAGTCGTGGCCTCATCCGGCAATCGGCACATCCCTAATCCGGGCCGAGCGTCGCCCGGGACTAATCCCACAAATTACACGCCGCTGTCCGGGATAGTGTCGTGTTATCGAATTCAAACTCGGAACAATTTTCTTAACTAATTAAAGCGCTTTGTGGGGCGTGAAACTTTCGCCTTTCGCCTCTTACTTTTTTTGCAACAACGACGAGCTCCAAGTAAGTTTAATTTTTTATTTATCTTAATTAATTTGTAAATAATATCTTTAACAATCACAATTACTATACCATCTAAAGTGTGAAAGTTAGTGTATCGGTTTTAGTCTTTTGATTTTGGAATGCTCAAAGCCAAAACAGGTCGTTACCACACTTTATGTAATTTTGATGGGCTTGGTTATTTCACTTTTCGTCAAGTGAAATCTGTTTGTCTATCCTTCTCTATCATAAAACACTAACCATTTGATTATTTTTTCATACATAAAACAGGCTTTTACCCTACTAAAAAGAAATTTCATACATTGTCCAATGTGTTAAAAAAACCCTTAGTCACTATATGATATTACTAAGACCGTTAGCGTTAAATTATTCACACAGTACACGTGTAGAACTCTTTTATTTGGATGTATACGAATACGCCCGGGTCGGACCCAGATCTGGCCCGGATTATCCGGGAGAGATCGGATAATGATTTTGACGCGGAGCTCAAGTGTATCTGATTGTTTGAGGATCAAAGGAAACGTTAAATTCGCTTGTTTTCAAATAGAGATTTATGTGGATAACGATAATAGGAGAGGCTTTTTACCTACTATAGAAAAATCTTTGAGATGTGACGTTATAACATTTACTTAAGTATAATAGTGGTTAATAGGTTGTAGGTCCTATCAACATGTTACTGTACGTTACATTACTGTACGATTCTATATATTAGATTTATATTTATACCACCTCTGTAGCCAAATGGTTCAAAGTGTTGCCTAGCACACTTAGGTTAGTCCTTGATTCCAATCACAGAGAAATAATTGATTATTTCGTTCTGGCAGAGCATAGTCGTCTGACGTGATCAGTGAAACGAATACAGAAATATGATCGCTTCATGCCCACAGACTTCACCAAAAACATCAACGACCAGGATAAGAACTTACATCTATTGGTTCATAAGCCGTGACGTACAATGAACCACGCAACTCGAGTAAGCTCACCTGTTCCAATATTTTCGCTGATAAATAAAACATTTCAATAATAATAATAAATATGCTATCGTTCAACATTTTCCGAAGCGAACAAACAATTTGTTGAAAGCGGCGGCTGCCTCTAAAACGCCATAATAAGTGGTCGGATGGCGTATTGTTGTCGAGTGTTGACTGTTCTCTTCGCAGCCACTCATCTCAAATATTGCACCAATCACCCTAATGCACATTACGTGGACAAAACCGGTTGCGAACACTAGTTAAGCAATACCGGTTTCACTATTTGTATCTTTTGCTACCGTTAATATAACGTACACTTTTAAAACACTTTTAACGGTTTAAAACGCGAAATATACTTACTTAACTTATTCATATTCTATTTTAACAACGACTCGATGTTTCGGCTGCTTTGTAGTAGCCATGATCACACGGGGACTGTCCCCCCGTCCTGTGTTTTATGTAGTGTTATTGTGTTTAATTTATGATGTGCTTATTGCCATTTACACCTGTACAAATAAATAAGGTTTTATATCGGTTTGCAACTCACGAACCGGTTATCTGCGTTACCGGTTCGTGAGTTGAAAAATAGGACGCTTCATAAAATACTATTTTCGATTCGCATTAATATCGGTATATTGAAGATTCGCGACTTTGGCGATTTGGAACATTTATTGGCGCCCACCCTCTCTGTAAATACGAAAGCCATATCGATAAACTGTTACAGCGTTTTCTTCTTGCTTTCCTCGAACATAAGGTCGATATTCGTCTGCATCCACCAAATATCTATTCTTGAGTCGAGTACAGATCGGTTTATCTTTGGGGCCCAGGTTTAATCAGTGCTTTAGTGGTTCCATTGAAAAGCATTTAGAGGGAAGGTGTAAGGTTCTCCAACTACCAGGTATTAATGAAAGATTATTGAGAACGAAATCGGAGTGTTGAATTTGAGTGCTTAATAGATGGTACGAATGTCTGTTTTATTAGAGTCGTTAAGTTCAGTCAGAATGTTTTAGATTTAAATATATGTATGATCTAGGATTAATTCTTCTTTATTTTTAAGGAAAAGATATAGCTAACAAAAAGAATATATTATATGTTTAATACCTACCGTATTCGACGATGACGTGTAAACACAGTAGCTCAATTGGTTAGAGCAACAACACGGAACGCTGTGGACACCGATTCAAGTTCTGCCTGTGTCGTATTTTTTTACAATCTAAAATCGATGTTTAATTTAAGAAGAATATAATGAAGATAAAAAAGCTATAGACACATACATAAATGAGCAAAAGTTCCTAAATTTCATAAAAAAAAAAAAAAAATTAAATATTTATTTTTATTTTAGGTTGAAACAACAAAATTAAGCTATCGACGAAAGTGCTTTTCAAACGAGTTCTTCTAATAACTTTTTCATAAAACAACAGATAGCGAACGATATTCTCAAGAAACATATTATTCTTTAATATATAAAATGGAAGATAATTTAAAATCCTATCTAAATATTGAAGAGAGAGTATCGTTCTTTGCCGCGAGCGTCTGTTGGGGGTTTAATTACGTTGCGGCATTCACAAAAATGTTCTACTATTTGTCTTGTTGTGGGTACCTGAAAGTACAATGTGGCCCTTGAGGGGCAACTATTTTTGAATGATTGCTTTAAAACTCCCTCTCAAATCATCATTTCATTTCTAAATAGACTAGAAATGTCTGTTTTATGTGTAATTGAATGACCATATACATAGATATTTTATATGATACATAGATTTTATTATTAATCTGGTAAACAAATTACAAATCGATGTTAGATCCACAGCGCTCCGTACTGTTGCTCTAACCAATTAAGCTATCGTATCCTGGTAAAGGTAGTCAAATAAGTTACTAGATAAAAAGATGTTTTGTAAACACAAAGGTAAAGGTTTTAGTTCAAACTGCAATTTACATACATTAATTGCACTGCATTAAAGATAAAAATGTAGATATTAAGATGAAAGAGGCGTAATCGTCGGGGGAGAGAATCGTTTGATAGATTGTAATCGTTGATTAAAATGTCGTAGCAATAAGGAGCGCCGCACCTGAGGTACAGAGTAAGCGAGTGCTCTAGGAACAGTTGGAAAACTTCGGTATAGGAGGTGGCAATACCTATCTTGATCCAGTATCATTTCTCAGCTATATTTATAAACACAGCAGTTAATTTCAAATATATATGATATTTGTAAGAAATTCTCTAACTCTTCTTCTTATTAAAAAAATGCATTTTTATAAATCATGTACACTGATTTATAAAACAACCATTCGTGAATCTTATTAGGTATTCTTCCACAAATGGCCGTACTGTTTGCATAATACTCTGGCGCGTAGCACGTATACGTCGCGAAGAAGGCGGCCGCGGAGACTCGCAGCTGTGATTCGGAGCTGAATTAAAATGTACACAAAGACAAATCGCTATGGAAAATTACATCCGTCTCCAAAAGTGACTAGAAATATTAATGTTACAGTACTATGTACACCCTCTCTACGCTTCCCGTGTATTAATTCGTCTAAGTCGTTCTT